GAAAAGCTTGAGAAGGACTGACAGTAGGTCCTCTTCAAATGTTTAGAAGAATTCACTAGGGAATCCATCTGGACCTGGGCTTTTGTTCTTGGGAAGACTTTGATTACAGGTTCAATTTCCTTGAGAGTGACAGTTCTATTTAGGCATTCCAAGTCTTCTTGGTTCAGCCTTGAGAGGTTATAGGAATCCAGGAATTTATCCATTCCTTTTAGGTTTTCTTGTTTGATGACATAGACTCAAAATAATCTCTGGTGATCTTTTGAATTTCTGTGGTTTCTGTTATGATCTTTTCCTTTTCTTCTTATTCAGTTTATTGGGTACTCTTTGATTCTTTGTAGTAGTTTATCGATCATGTTTATTTTTTTAAAGACATGGCTCTTGGCTTCATTGATCCTTTCAGTTGTTTTTTGGGATTCCTGCTTGTTGATTTCTGCTCTAAGTTTTATTATTTCTTTCTTCCTGCCTGGTTTGGGCTCTTTTTGTTGATCATTTTCTAAGATCTTAAGCTGTGAAGTCAAGTTATTTATGTGGGTCCTTCCTTCCTGATGTGTGCTTGCAGAGCTACAAACTTTTCTCTTAACACTATTTTTGCTGTGTCCTATGAGTTCTGGTAGCTCGTGTCCTCATTCTCATTTGTTTCAGGAATCTTTTTGATTTCTTCTTTTATTTCCTCTCTAACTCATTGGTTGTTCAACAGTGAGCTGTTTAATTTACAGGTGTTTGATTTGATTCTCCATTTCTGTGTGTGATTAACTTCTATTTGCAGTGCATCTTTGAAAATCTAGTTGATACAATTTCTATCTTCTTGATTTTATGAAAGTATGTTTTGTGACCCATCATGTAGTCAGTCCTGGAGAGTGTCCCATGTGCACTGGGGAAAAATGTGTATTTAGCTTTAGGGGGATGAAAACCCATATATATATGAGAAAGGGTATATATATATATTGATTACAGGTTCAATTTCCTTGAGAGAAATTTCTTTCTCCTCCATTTCTTTCTTCAAAGCCAGTATTTCTATGCTGACCTGTAGTCTCATTAATCTATCAAGAGGTGATAAGGTATGTTTAAGTCTCCTACTACGACAGTGTTGCCACTGAAGTCCTCCTTGAAGTCTATAGCATTTGTTTTATGTATTTTTCTGGCCCCTCATTGGATGCTTATATGTTTATGAGTGTAATTTCTTCCTGATATGCATATTCTTTGATTATTAAGCAATGGCTTTCACTGTCCCTTTTAACCTTTTTTCAGTCTCAAATCTATGTTTTCGGATACTAGTATGGCCACCCTGCCTTTTCTGAAGGAGTTTTTTGCTTGAAAATTTGTTTTTTATTCTTTGACTTTGAGTCTGTTGTTTTCTCTTTTTCTTTTTCTTTCTTTTTTTTTAATGTAGGAGTAAGGTAAAAGGTAAAGGTAAAGGCCCTCCCGTTGATCGTCGATTTGCTCGAGCGGGCCCAGTAGCGTCTCCATTGGAGACTTTGTTGTTACTGTGTCTGGCATATCGAATACTCTCGGTAGCTTGCCGGGCTCTCCGAGAGGGGCGGAGGAATCGAACTCGGGTCGGCCATGTTGGCCGCTTGTAAGGCGGGTAGGGCGTTCGCCTTACAAGCGGCCAACATGGCCGATCCGAGTTCGATTCCTCCGCCCCTCTCGGAGAGCCCGGCAAGCTACCGAGAGTATTCGATATGCCAGACACAGTAACAGTAACAAATGTAGGAGTATTACTAATTATTCAGTCACTGATTAGGCTGGTTGAATTGGGCATGAACTCCACTTTACCTTTTTTTTTAAATCAATTTATTTGTTGAATCACCGTGAGAGCAGTTACAAAGCTTTTGAATTTAAGTCTCAGTCATACAATGATGAAACACCCGTCCCTCCACCAGTGCCCATTTTCCACCACCAAAAACCTCAGTATACCCTCCCATCCCACACTCTCCCCCTACCTGTGGAGCAGATGATTTCCACATTACTCTCTCTCTACTTTGATTACTTCAATATTTTGACAGCAGACCCATAATTATTATTTGGGATTTTACCCCAACACTCAGATCTGCCAAAAAGACAACTGTAGACAATTTGTTTTCTATTTCTAGTTATTAATAACATGATGCCACATGGCCACAGTAGTGGCCATGTGATTTTGGGATTCTGAAATTTTAACAATTAAATCTGGAGAAATTTCTGCCAAAACCTGGTGGGTTCCAAGATTTGTTCCAGAATCTCTTGGATCATGGCCATTAAGCAGCTTGATCAGGAGCCAGAGAGGCCATTTGTGGGCAGCGACTCGGAGTCTCATTGGGGTGGGGAGGAAAGGTCCGGCTCCACCCCCATCACGTGAGGCCCCATGTGTTTAGTCACTGCGGGCCCAAACCTGACTGTCCAATGGCCTCTGGAGGATGGTGGCCACCAAGCCACCAGGGGGAATAGGCCAAGATACAAAACCTATTCCCACCTAGAGTGGCCCAGCATCAGTACCTACTGTGGAGACCAGATGCATTTCTGCCAAAAGCCACTGGGTTCCGAAATTTGTTTCTGAGTCTCTTGGATCATGGCCATTAAGCAGCTTGATCAAGAGCCAGCGAGGCGATTTATGGGTGGGACTCAGGGTCTCTTTAGAGATGGGAGGAAAGGGCCAGCTCCACTCCCATCACGTGAGGCCCAGTGTGTTTCGTCACTGCGGGCCCAACCTGATTGCCCAATGGCCTCTGGAGGATGATGGTCACCGATGTGCCAGGAGAGAGCAGGCAGAGGGACAGCACCCTTTCCTCCCCTGAGGTGGCCTGGCGCCAGTAACCTACTGTGGGGACCAGACACATTTCTGCCAAAAGCCACTGGGTTCCGAGATTTGTTTCTGAGTCTGTGGGATCATGGTCATTAAGCAGTTTGATCAGGAACCGGAGAGGCCTTGCCCCCTCAATTATATATCTGAGCCGGAGGTGATTTGTGGGTGTGTCTTCCACATACCTAACTTTTGGCCATTTACTTTCTTAGTAAACTTGGTATCAAGTTGTTGGAGTTTGGTCAAAGGCACAGCAGCAATTTTGGGATATCTAGAAGTCTGAAGGTACTATCAGGCTGCTGATGCACTCGCCTCACAGATACAGATTGACCTGCTGGCGCCATCATACCCCTGAGTCTGTGTTTTCTTTGACTGTTCAAACGTGTTTCTTGTAGGCATTAAAATGTTGGATTGGGTTTTTAATTCATTTTGCCACTCTCTGTCTCTTAATCGGTGCATTTAAATCATTGACATTGAGAGAGGGTTTTATTTGTTAAATCTGCTGTGAATCTAAAGGATGCCCGTTTTTATATAATTTTCTTCTTTGACCTTGCTGCTTGCAGTATTGTATCTCTATCAGTGGTATTTTTTGTTCTGATTATGATCTGTCTTAGAGATTCTTTTATTATGGTCCCTTTGGACTCCTTTGATCTGGATGCCTGCATTCTCCAACTCTGGGGACTTTGCAGCAATGATGTCTTTAACTGCTGCTACCTCTCTGGGGTTATCTCCCTGTCCCCCTGGGACTCCAATAATTCTTATGTTGTTTCTCTTGATTTTATACCATAGTTTTCTTGCCTGTTTTTGTGCTACTTTGAGGTCTTTTTTATCTTCTGTTGTTACCTGGTTGTTTTATGCATGCCATCTTCAAGTTCACTGATTTTGTCCTAAACTGTTACTCTACTCTTGAGGCTACCCATTGAGTTTTTCATTTCATCTACCACTTTTTTTTAATCAATGACACTTCTGTTTGTAGTTTTCTTATTTATCCTTTTATTTCCTCTTATGTTTTATTGACTGTCCATTCCACGGTTTCTCATATTCTCCTGTATTTTATTGGCTGTCCATTCCACTGTTTCTTTGAGCTCACTAAACATCTTCACCATTTCTTCTCTGAACTCTTTATCAAAGAGATTATGTGAATATTCCTTGTTGAGGCTTCAGGGCTCTTTTCTTCATCCACTCCTCATGATGGGGATGTGTGGTTTCCCTGTGATGCCACGGTAGTCTGCATCTGGATCCTTCCAGTACATCATCAGTGTCTCCCTCTCACTGCCAGGGAGGACTTTGGGATGGCTTGGTGGATGGTGGTCTCCTCTTTTTCCTTCAAGGATATTATCTTTCCATTTAGTGCTCCTGCATGACTTGTGTGGGGCCTCTAGTACTGATTCAGGGGACGTGCTCTTTGGTCTGGGATATGTTACTGGGATAGCCAAAGCTGCCCTTGTGAGAGTTTGGTATAGAACCACATCTCCTACCACTGATCTACCCAATGGAGAGGGGCCATGCACTGGAACAGATCCTGAAGTCACAAAGTCCCATGGTGAAGGAGATGTCCCTTCTTATCTAGATGCTTCTCTGGGCATCTGAAGCTGCAGAGGGGACTCTGTTTGCTGTTGCCTCGTGCTATGCTGCCCCTGTTCAGAATAAGGCATTTTAATGAAAAGAAGAAAGATGTTCGAGTCTGTCTTTACCTGTAGTGGGATGTTTATTTCATATGAGTACACCTACATTTTTTTTAATTTTTATTAATGAGACACCATGAGGTACAGTTGTAGACTTACAAATTTTTGTGTTTGGGTTTCAATTATACAATGAGGGCTTCAGTCCTGTTTGTGCCTCAGTGATACAGATCTTCGTCCTTCTACCTGTTTTCTGACAACTACAGGACTATTCTCAGGCAGCTTGCTCTGACACTTCTTTCACCCTGCCCCAAACATTGCTACAAAATCTAATGAGATCCAGCTGCCAAGATTTTGTCAGCAGATGGTCACAGCAGTGTCTACTGCTGTTATGTCCTGGAGCTACTTGTTTGAACCTGTGTTCCTGACTCAGACTTTTGCTCTTGCTTTTCTGGGAATAGATGCCTTTGCAGTTAGGGCTAGAGTCAAGCCTCAGTGGAAGCACTTTGAGGTATGGCTGTACTCTAAAATATACCTGAAAGTGGGTTGTCAGAGTATGATTCACTTTTCTTTACTTCCCCCCTTCCATGGCATTGCAGGTCTGAGAATCTGGAATACATTTATAACCAACTGAGAACATTAAAGGTCAGGAGCATGGTTGGTCTCCTGGACAAGGTTAAAAGCAGCTACTTCCCAGCTTTCCAAGCCATGTTCAGAGATGTTGTAGCAGGTGAGATCAGCAAGTATCTTTATAAAGAAATAAGTTACATTGTTTATTTAGTATTAAATTTATTTCTTTATGTGAATTCCATTTTGAATTTTTTTCTGGGGTATCAACCCTGGTACCCCAGAAATACTCAGGGCTCACTCCCGGTCCTGGGCTCAGGATCTCTCCTGGTGGTATTCAGATAACAAGTCAGCCATGTGCAAAACAAGCACCTTATGAGCTATAATATCTCTCTGGTACTGTTTTATTTTTTTTAATAATGCTCCAATCTGATGTAATCAGCACGATGGTAAGAGTATAATGGTTAGAATATAAAGAAGAAAGATGTTTGAGTCTGTCTTTACCTATAGTATGGTAAGTATAATGGTAAGAATATAATACCAAAAAGCAAGAGAACAGCTACTCTGCATTCTGTTTTTCATTTCCATTGCTTTATGGCTGGAAAAAATAGACTTTATGGCTGGAAACGCAGACTATAAAACCCTGCTCCCGGTAGAGAACAGCACAGAATCTCCTGCCTCCGCACTTGACTGTCCTTACCAGGGCCCCTTGGAGGAGGGTGGGTTGAATTTCCCTTCCTACCCCAAGCAGAGCTCCGGCAGCTGAGGACCTCCGGTTCCAGCCACAGTCATGCTTAAGACCACTCTTCACACATTCGGATGAGCCTCATGCATGAAGGAACCGACTGAGGAACCCAGGTGTGTGGGACCTGGAGCATAGATCTCCAAGCCTGCTCGGATTAGAACTGGGGCCTCCACCCAGATCCCCCACTTTCCAGTATGTAGGCATTACACCCACCAACTGCCCCCAGCGCCATGTAATCCCATCAATGGCCAAGACCCAGAGACTATAAAACTCTGCTCCCAGAAGCATCTTATTATCTAGGTCTTACTCTGGAGAAGCTGGCAGGCTACCAAAAGTATCCTGCCCACACGGCAGAGTCTGGCAAACTCCCTGTGGTATATTCAATATGCCAAAAACCAGTAACAATGAAGTGTCACATCCTGACCCTGAAAGAACCTCAAATGTGGCACTTTTAAAATCTCAGGGCTAGGACAAAGGAGACGTTACTGGGGCCTGCTTGAGGCAAACAATGACCAACAGGATGACAGTGGTACAGTGATATGGCTGAAAAAGCCTCTTTACCTCTCAGATTTAGTTTTTTATTTTTTTAACCATAGAGCTTGTACACACACACACACACACACACACACACACACACACACACGTATACATACTTCCTGCCTACTTTGTTGGGCTACTGTGAGATAGTATTAGTGAAAGTATTTTCTGAACTCTACTGTACAAATGCATGCTATTTTTGTTTCTCTAGAATTCAGGACCCTACCACTCTGATTCATTGAGAAGTCTGTTCATTTCTACCTCTCATTTTGCTTTTTAATATTCCTATTGTCAGATGGAAGTCAAATTTTCTGGTCATGTGAGCAGCAGATATGATCAATATTTACCACAGTTGCAAAGCCAGCAAAGTCTGTAATTTGAAATAGGTTCATTGTTTCAGGATTTTCTCTTTTCTCATAAGTACACTTGATTACTTTCATTTTTTGTACTAAAGCGTGAGCCAAGACTCACACACGAGTGAAGCCCCGTAGAACCAGGGAAGTGGAACTCTGTGGCCTTGGACTCCAGGCTCAATGGATCTAGGCACAGAGATCCTCTGCCTGCTCCCAGAAGCCCGGCAGACCTTAATTACATCCACTACCTCCACTACCCAACTGCTGCCATGCTTCAGGATGCTTTCCAGGCATTTGAGCCGAGATTCACACATAAGCAAAGCCCCATAGAACCAGGGAAGTAGAACTATGTGACCTTGGACTACAGGCTCAATGAATTCAGGAACAGAGATCCTCTGCCTGCTCCCAGAAGCCCGGTAGACCTTCATTACCTCCTCTATCTCCACTACCCAAATGCCGCCAGGCTCCAGGATGCTTTCTGGTCACTCGTGCTGAGACTCACACATGATTGAAGCCCCATAGATTCAGGGAAGTGGAACTCTGTGACCTTGGAAACCAGGCTCAACGGACCCAAAACAGAGATCCTCTGCCTGCTCCCAGCAGCCTGGTAGAACTTCATTATCTCCAGTACTTCCACTACCCAGCCGCCGACACGCACCAGGAAACTTTCCAAACACTCAGGCCGAGACTCACACACAAAGTGAAGCCCCATAGAATCAGAGAAGTGGAATTCGGTGACCTTGGACTTCAGACTAAACAAACCCAGGAATAGAGATCCTCTGCCTACTCCCAGTAGCCCAGCAGACCGCCATTACCTCCTCTACCTCCACTACTCCCAGGCTCCAGGCCGCTTTTTAGACTCTCAGGCTGAGACTCATGCACAGTAAAGCTCCATAGAATCAGGGAATCGGAACTCTGTGACCTTGGACTCTAGGCTCAATGGACCCAGGAACAAAGATCCTGCCAGCAGCCCAGTAGGCCTCCATTACCTCAACTACCTCCACTACCCAGCCACCGCCATGTTCCAGGGTGCTTTCTGGACACTCGGGCTGAGACTCATGCAAGAGTGAAGCCCCACAGAATCAGGGAAGTGGAACTCTGTGACCTTGGACTACAAGCTAAACAGACCCGGGAACAGAGATCCTCTGCCTGCTGCCAGAAGCTGGTAAGACCTCCATTACCTCATCTACCTCCCCTACCCAAACACTGTCAGGCTCTAGGATGCTTTCCAGACACTCGGGCTGAGACTCACACACGAGTGAAGCCCTATAGAATCAGGGAAGTGGAACTCTGTGACCTTGGACGCCAGGCTCAATGGACCCAGAAACAGAGATCCTCTGCCTGCTTCCAGCACCCCAGCAGACCTCCATGACCTCCACTACCTCCACTACCCAGCCACTGCCACGCTCCAGGATGCTTTCGGACCGCATGGCCATTTTGTGACCACACGACACAACATAAATCACTTAATATAATATTACCATATTAGATGGGGTTCAAGTATGGTTTAAACCATGGGAACACCTGCAAGGATGATTAGAAGCCACCCTAAAAGCCTCTATCCCTCTTGTAGAGTCTGCCAAGCTACCAAGATTGTCCTGCCCACACGGCAGAGCCTGGCAAGCTATTCATGGTGTATTTGATATGCCAAAACCAGTAAATAAAAAGGGTCTCATTTCCCTAACCCTGAAAGAGCCACCAATATGGCAGCATTAAGAAAAGTGAGGAAGGAGAGGCTGATAAAATCTCAAGGCCTAAATAGACTGCCAAAACAAAGAAGGACAAAAATGATTGTCTGTACTTTCAATACACGTACACTGGCATCAGATGAATCTAATGAGGACCTGATGGTACAAGTGCAAAAGATCAAGTACGACATCATTGGTCTGACTGAGATAAGAAGGCATAATCATATCACGCCATTTTTGACACTGGTGAAGAACTGTTCCTCGGAACATGTGACAAAAGAGACATCGGTGGTGTCGGTCCTGTCAGTACGAACTTGGCCATAAGCATTGATTCATTTGAATGCCTAACAACCTGAATTGGACAATTACACTTGAATAGATATGGCTCACTGCCAGAAGTTTCTGTCTTCGTTATCTATGCACCAATATCTAATTATAATGAAGGAGAAATTGAGAAGTTCTACATGGAGTTGGAGAAGTTCTGTAAAGAAGACCATATCTTCTAAAAGATCATTTTTGGTATTTTTAATGCCAAGATAGGACTGAGAAGATATCTGAAGAACGCCACCTTGGAACCCATGGCCTAGAATCGAATGAACAGGGTGACAGACTGTCTGAGTTCATCATGTCGACCAAGACCATCCATAGTAACTCACAATTCCAGAAGGCTGAATCTAAACATTGGATTTGAGAGTCTCCCGGTGGTCGGTTCCACACAAAATTGACCACATCATATTCAATCAATGGTCTTGCCTAACCGATGTTGCTGTTGTCCCAAAATTCCAAGCAGGATCGAACCACCATCTCCTTCGTGCAAAATTCTACTTCACAGAATGGGGAGTAAAGGCCGCAAAGTTTAAGAAGAGAACTCTCAGAATGACCACCAGCTGGGGGCTCTATGGCACTATTGAGGCAACCTGGGAGGATGCCGTCATTCAGAACATTGACAAGGAATATAATCAAATGGTTCAGAACCTCCATGATTGTGCAAGGAACGCCGAGAGAGAGATAGCCACACAAAGATGCCTGTCTTCGAAAAATCTTGAGCTCATTCGCCAACATGGCTTGGCGGAAGCCTCAGAAAATATCACGAGAACATGCGAGCTCACAAAGGAGTGCAGAGAAGTAATCAAGGAAGACCTCAAAGAGAGAAGAGCAGCAATGCTGGCAGATGTGGCAGAAGCCAGGAAAAGTGTTTGGAATGCCTGCCTGTCCTTTGCCAAGTACAAAACTAAGATAATTGCCATCCAATGTCCTGATGTATCTTATCATAACTTCCAGAAGGGCAATGGAGAAGATTATCCATGACTGCTACATATATGTCTTCAATAGCCATGTCCACCTGCCCACATACCAAATTCCACAGGATGGATATGTCTTTCCCAGTGTTCTCCCTTCTGAAATATGACACACCATTTCGTCAGTAAAGAAGCAAACATCACCTGGGCCAGACAAGGTCAGACTCGAACACCTGAAGAACCTGCTGTCAGTACTCATCAATACACTGGCTCAGTTCTTCACACGATACGTGTCTGAATGCAAGGTTCCATCCCAATGGAAAAACAGCAGGACTATACTACTGTACAAGAAGGGAGACATCCACCACATTGGCAACTATTGCCCAATCTGCCTATTGTCTATCATCTACATACTGTTCACTCAAGTCATCCTGAATAAGATTGACAGGACAGTAGATGAAGGACAACCATGTGAGAAACCTGGGTTCCAAAAATATTCAGCATGATCAACCATATCCACACGATAACCAAACTTATTGAGGTTTCTCGGGAGTTCACGATGCCACATGTTCTAATGTTCATTGATTTAAAGAAGGCCTTTG